GATTGTTGGTTTATTTACTAAACAAGAGATTGATTAAAAATTTTCACTAAAAACTTTCCCAGGCACTGACATTTGATAAGTGCCATATGAAATGAATAAGCTTATAGTCTATTAAAAGTCAGAAATGATTAAGATAGTGGAATTTTCCGTATGGCCATTGCATAGGTTTATTGGGAATAGCCAGGGATGAGGTGTGGGAGGTAAGCTGAGGTCCCATTTATGAATAGGCATTTATACCTTGCTGAGGAGTTGGTACTTTCTCTTACAGATAGCCAGGAACTGCTAAAAAGACATGGGAATGATATATTTAATTTATTCATTAGGAAGATGGCAGTGTGAGCTTCAGATTCAAGCTGGGAAACAATGGAGACAGGAAAATCAGTTAGGAGGCCGTAACGGTTAAAGGGAGAATTAAGCAGGAGATGATGTCCTTAGTTAAAACAATGACACAGGGGACAGACAAGACAGCCTGGATTCTAGAGACATATCAGAGTCATAATGAACATAAGGGGAAGAAGCTTAAGATAATCTTGAGATTTTTAACTAAGGTTACTGCATGAATTGTCATACTAACAACTGAAATAGATATTTCAGAAAGAGGAAGAAGTAAGTTCTTTGAGGTGGATAAATTCAGTTTTAGACATGTTACAGTAAGCATATTAATATGAAATTCAAAATATATTAAGGTAAGATATAATAGGATAGATGATAGTTCTATTATGTACACTTAAATCCTGTTTTATCTTCTTTAGTAATAGATAATATTAACATATAATTGATTGAAGTAATTAGAACAAATTTACTAACTCTTCTGGGTCATTTTCACCACACTAGCCTTTCTTATCTCTTATTTGAACTATGGTAATAAGTTCCTTTTAGTCTATCACATTTTTACGTATTTGATATACTGTTGATAAATTTATCTTGCACATGGGCAGTGCAATTGTGTTAATGCTCCTGCATTTAAGCCATGACTGCAAGCATATAATAGTGTTTATTCAGGTAGTCAATGGTCTTGGGTGGGATTCTTCTCCAAGGACCACCCACATCCCAACCAGTCTCACCATGACACCTCTGCTACATGTAGAAATTAAGCTTATAGTATATTATCACAAAAATATTTGTTTTCAGCATTCTGTTTTCAAATATCTCTTACATCAAGTGAAATCTGTTGCATGTAACTTCTACCCATTGGTCCTCATTTTAGCTCTAAGGCTAGAAGGTACAAAGCAAATTAAATCTCCCTTTAGTCCTGATGTTTAAAGACAATAGCCAACAGCCATGCCTGCCAGGTTTTCTTTTTTTTCTATGACATCACAGTTGTACTTTGTATTTCTCTGTTACCCTTTACTCTGCCATTTATTATACTTTCTACCGGGTAGCCTTATCCTCCTGTGTCCCCTCCTCCATTGCTTATAAATAGTGGCTTAAACTTTGTAAACTTTCAGTGAATATTCATTGATAGACCTACAACTCTAATTTAAGTACCATAATTAACATATCTGATGAATTTGATCACATATTTTATACTTTGTATATCAACTGCCTCTGTAATTTTATATAATTGCATGACATAGGCATGATCATGTCTGAATGAATATATATTCATACTCAGAATATTTGGAGATTAGTCCAGAGCTTCAGTATTAACTAACTTTTGACCATGGCTATGTTACTTAACCTCACTTGTCAGTAAATAGATAACAGATTGAATAAAGGCAGTAGGTTTTAAACATTATGACGGATTTAAAATAGGAATAATATTGAATGATCACATGTCCTCTAAGGCAAATAAATTGTTATGTAAAAGAAGATTAAATCTTCTCTACTGTGGTAACACAAAATAATGATTAGAAACAGTTTTGATGTGGAAATGCATTCAGTAGAGGAAATTAATAAGTGAGTCCTGTTGCTGCATTTCTTACAAGGGCATGTGAAGTTATTTATTACTCTTGTGAAAAGATGTTTGACCTACTCTTTATGTAAAAATGTCTGCAATTATAAACATTAATAATCTAACACTGGTTGATAGAATCTGCATTTCAACTCCATAGAAATTAGTGGTTATAGACAACTTGAGATCAATAATACCATAAAGAAACAAACTATGGACAGAGGGCAGTGGCTTATGACCATAATCCCAACACTTTGGCAGGCCAAGGTGGAAGGATGACGTCAGGCCAGGAGTTCAAGACTTGCCTAGCTAAAATACCAAGACCCCATCTCTACAAAAAAAAAAAAAAAAAAAAAAAAAATTACCTGAATGTGGTGGTGTACACCTTTGTCCCAGCTTGCAGAGAGGCTGAGATGGGAGGATTGCTTGAGCCCAGGAGTTTGAGGCTGTAGTGAGCAATGATCGCACCACTGCACTCTAGCAGGGCAACAGAGTGAGACCCTGTCTCCAAAAATAGGAGGGAGAAGGTAGGGAGGAGGAAGAGAGAGGGAGGGAGGAGGGAGAGGGAGGGAGGGAAGAAGAGAAGGCGGGAAAGAATTAAAGAAAAATTATGAAATTATGAATGCAGGGTCTGGAATTATAGAGGTAGTGGAGAGAAATAGTTTGTTATAATGCCTGACTTGCAAGTAGAGAAAAGCATTATTTTTTTAAAAAAAAGATTTTAGCATATATCTTTCATTGCTTCTGAAAATCCATTGTTTCATTCAGCAAATATGTATTGGTGCCTAATGTTTGCCAAACATTGTACTTAATTCTGGGAAAATACTAAGATGAATATGATATAATCTCTACCTTGTAGGTATTACTGTCTAATAATGGAAATAATCACTGTGGAGTGTCATATATCAGAACATAGATAGCAGAGCAACTAAATTTCATTCAGAGAATGAAGATACTTAAGAGACAGTTGAGCTGGGTATTGATGGATTGGTTTGCCGCCTGCTATGGACGGAATCATATTCTCCCAACTTTTTTTTTTTTACTTTAAGTTCTGGGATACGTGTGCAGAATATGCAGATTTGTTACATAGGTATATGTATCCCATGGTGGCTTGCTGTACCTTTCAATCCATCATATAGGTTTTAAGCCCTGCATGCATTAGGTGTTTGTCCTAATGCTTTCCCTCCCCTTGGCCCCCTTCCCCGTCAGGTCCCTGTTTGTGATGTTCCCAATTGTCTCTGTTTGCAGATGACATAATTGTATATTTAGAAAATCCCATTGTCTCAGTTCAAAAACTCCTTAAGCTGATAAGTAACTTTAGCAAAGTCTCAGGATACAAATTGATGTGCAAAAATCACAAGCATTCCTATACACCAATAGACCCCACTGTTTTAGTTCAAAAACTCCTTAAGTTGATAAGTAACTTTAGCAAAGTCTCGGGATACAAATTAATGTGCAAAAATCACAAGCATTCCTATACACCAACAATAGACAAGCAGAGAGCCAAATCATGAGTGAACTATCATTCGCAATTGCCACAAACAGAATAAAATACCTAGCAATCTCCCAAAATTTATATGTCGAAGCCCTAACCAACAATGTGAGGATATTTGGAGATGGGGTGTTTGAGAGATAAAATAATTAGGTTTAGATGAGGTTGTGACGGTATTGAAGCCCTCATGATGGAATTAGTGCTCTTACAAGAAGAGACAGTAGCAATTTGGGAGGCTGAGTTGGGCAGATCACCTGAGGTCGGGAGTTCAAGACCAGCCTGACCAACATGGAGAAACCCTGTCTGTACCAAAAATACAAAATTAGCTGGACGTGGTGACTCGTGCCTGTAATCCCAGCTACTCGGGAGGCGGAGGCAGGAGAATCGCTTGAACCTTGGAAGGGGTAGTTGCAGTGAGCTGGGATGGCATCATTGCACTCCAGCCTGGGCAACAAGAGTGAAACTCTATCTCAAACAAAAAAGAGAGAGAGACAGCAGATACAGCAGACACCTTACTCGCTCTGGTCTCTCCCTGGACCCCCAAAACCCCCCATGTGAAAGGACATAGTGAGAAGGCACTGTCTATGAAGGAGTAAGAGGGCTCTTACTAGAAACTGGCCATGTTGGTACCTTGATCTCAGACTCTAAGAACAGTGAGGAAATAAAATGCATTGTTTGTTACCAGTTTATATTTGTTATAGCAGCCCGAACTGACTCACAGATGAAGATCTGAGAAAAGGGAGAGCAAATGAAGATATGTTTGGTAAATGATGACAGTTCCGTATAGCTGGGGTGAATAATAAAATGATGAAGAATAAGACTAGAAAGAACATTTTGAAATTTAACCTATCGGTAATAGAAAGGCAGACGTTTCAGTAAGAATATTTTTCCAAAGTTTTTTTTCCAAAGAGTAGCAGAGTAGCAATCAGATTCTTATTTTAGGACTCTTTGTTACTCAGATAATAGTGGGTTGGAGGGAGAAGAAACTGATGGAAAGGAAGCCAGTTAGAATGGTGTGAGCTAAAATAAATTGTGAGAGCCTAAACCATATAAATGGCACTCAAGAGGAAGAAAAATATTCAGAAGGTAGAAGAGAGACCATCTTTTCCAGCACCTAGCACATTACCTGGCATATGGTATCACTTGAACAGTAATAATTGACCAATTGTATCTTAGACAATTCCCTAAGATTTAATCTCTCACTGTACAGAAAATTCAGTGAAGATGGGAACTACTACATGCACGCAGTTTACTTACCTAGTTCCTGTCATGTATATGACATAGTATCTGGCCTAAGTAGGAATCCAGTAACAGCTTGTTGAATCACGTATGTTCTCCAGCCATCTTTCTGTCTCACCCTAAGAAATGCTTCTCATGTTTGAGTGTAACTGATCTTTTAGGGCTTCTATCTGATCATATTGCTTTTAGACTATGTCCACATATGCTGCTTCTATCAAAATAACTCTTTTTATATCCAGTTTTAAGGTTTACATCTTTCATACAGACTAAAAAGTAGTAGTTAAGTGGAGATGGAAAAGTTCTTCCTTAAGTAAAAGTCTCACTGATAGGCAATCCAAGGAATTAGAGCAAATTGAATCCATGATGTCATCAAAGGACCTGGGTTCCTTCTGTCTTGTTCCACCATCACTCAAGGTTTGCTGTTCTTTTGCAGTCACCCCATATATACACATTTTAGCCCTTTGGAAAGAGGCAAGAGTAAGTAGAGGACACGTAGCTGCTTTTTAAAAGAATGTGACTAGGATGTTGGGCACATCATTTTTGCTCACATTCCGCTTTCTAAAATGTCATCTCCTGGTGACTCCCACCCACATGGGAATTTGGGAAGTGCAATTATCAAGCTGGGTTGCCTAAAACTGCAAAGGAGGATGGGTCTGTTGTTAAAAGGAAGAAGGAAGATGGAATGGAGGTAAATAGATAATGGGAGACAATTAGTAACTAATGCTATAATAACAAATCAGGAAATTGATATTATGGAATGCATCAGGAGAACATTTCTGATTTCAACTTGGGAGGTTCTAGTTGAACAGTTTATTTAGCCTTACTGCTGTCTCCTTTTATCAGAATTGTCTGTGTCATCCTTTGCTTTCCTCTTCTAGTGTCACTTGAGAAGAATATGGTGTCACTTGAGAAGAATAAAGGTATTAGTGGGTAGAATAAATTATTACTCAATGATAAAAAGACAGGATAAACTAAGAGAATGAATTTGAGCTACTTGAGTAAGGAATTTTTGCTTATTTTATATCCCACTTCCTTGAAAGGATGGAAAGGTTCTAGAGTAAGACCAGCAAAAAAACAGGTGAGAAAACTTTATTCACAGTTAGCAGTAGGGTCACTCTTAAAATTAGATTGCTCTAGACTTCTGGCAGTTATCAGAGCGTAGCAAAGGCAGGTCAGATGGCAGAGAATGTGATGTGGGGATTGAGGCAGATGTTTTTGTAAGAAAACTTTTCCATTCTCGGAAAAGATAGCCAAAGTGTTAAGTCCAGGGAAAACACATTCTGTGGTTTAACTTTATCAAGAAAATGGATGGCTTAGTCAGGAAAAGTATATTCTCTAGTTCTGTACTTTTCAAGAAGATAGACAGCTTAGGCCAAAGGCATGTAACTCTTTTTTATGTAAGAGTTGCAGAAACATCTCAGCTGCTGGAGAAGGAAACTTCCTTTATTTAATTTGTGTGATAATTAAACAAATCGATCTTATACTAATGATGTAAGCTAAGGTATTACATCGTGAAGAATTAGCCATCAGAATGCCATGTAATCCATTAGGATTAAATCTCTAGCATTAAATCTTTCATTGGTGTGAGAGATTTCTCACACCCACCGAACTTGGTGTGTTTCCAAGTGCTTAAAAAGATAAGAAGCACTAAATATTGATGTTAGTTGCAGATACTCCATTCCTTCTTATCCACTGGCAAAAAAATACCTAGACAGAAATGGAAGTCTGTATCTTAGTATTCATAATGGATTGTCCCACATTTGTTGCCAATAACACTGACATTATATACCGTAGGAATTAGTTGGTGAATCCATTCATTGTTGATCCTGCTACTAACAAATTGAGTAAGGCTGCTAGTGCCTAAGAGTGAGACTATTAGACATGCTCATGGTTAGTCTCTGGAGTTTCAATTCCTGTCTTTTTTGTTTTTTTGAGACAGAGTCTTGCTCTGTTGCCCAGGCTGGAGTGCAGTGGCACAATTTTGGCTCACTACAACCTCTGCCTCCCGGGTTCAAGCAGTTCTTATGCTTCAGCCTCCCAAGCATGCACCACCATGCCTGGCTAATTTTTGTATTTTTAGTAGAGACAGGGTTTTGCCATGCTGGCCAGGCTGGCCTTGAATTTCTGGCCTCACGCAATCCGCCCACCTCAGCTCCTGATTTCTCACTTGATTCAGGCCATGAACAAAGCAAAACTCTGAACAGTACTAACCTAATCACCTAATCGCCAATGGAATTTTTTTTTTTTTTTTTTGAAACCAAGTCTCACTGTGTTGTTCAGGCTGGAGTGCAGTGGTACAGCCATGGCTCACTGCATCCCCAACCTCCTGGGCTCAAGCAATCCTCAAGGCATGTGCCACCACACCTGGCTACAGAAATATTTCTTAATTAGCATTTTCCTAGTCCTAAATTTACTACCTTTATAAAAGTTAATAAGATAATCTTATGTTGTAAGTGATTCTTTTGGATCTTTTGCAAAGATCCAAAATTGAAGATACTCATTTTTCTTGATATTGTTCTCCTTCTTGAACCATCAGTGTGAACAGTTCTTTTTCAGTAATTAAGGTGTTACATACTTTTCTAGGCTCTAGAACAGACTTACCTACTAATATTTCTATGGTGATGGAAACCTGCCTGGTCCATTATGGTACCCACTAGCCACATGTGGCGATTGAGCCCTTGAAATGTGACTAATATTACTGAGGAACTGAACTTTTAGTTTTAATTAAATTTACATTTAAATAACTATTTGGCTAGCGACAACCATATTGACTGTGCAGCTCTTGAGATACAGGGGTTAATGATAAAATCCCTGTCTTCTTGGAGTTTATACTTCTGCTCTGCTGATATCCATGAACTCGTTTGAACACTTTATTGTATATAACCTCACTTAATCCTACCAAAAGCCTTTTAAAAAATTATATCACGATTTCCTATTTCTTCTTTTTAGAATGAGAATGTCTATCCTATGTCTGTCCCACCATTGTATTTTGGAAGCAAACAATCTGTCTGATTGCACAGGTTCACAACTGGGAAGGAATTTTGCCTGAAGGTGATTCGTACCTCAGGTTTCACCCATATCTGGGTTAGAAGATATTTAGATGAGACTTTGAACTGTAGACTTTAGAGTTGACCTTGTAATGGGTTAAGACTTTGGAGGCATTTGGGATGGAAGTAATGTATTTTTTATGTGATAAAGGCATGGATTTTTAGGAGGTTAGGAGCAGAATGCTATGGACTGAATTGTGTTCCCCGAAAATTATGTTGGAGCCCTAATTAACCCTGTGATTGTATTGGAGATACATTCTTTAAGGAGGTGATTAAGGTTAAATGAGGTTATAAGGGCAGAGCCCTGTTCCAGTAGAACTGGTGTCTTTATGAAAGACAAAGGGATACCAGAGATCACTCTCTCTCCATCACGTGAGGGCACAGTAGAAGAGGAGTGCTCACCAGAAACCAAATCCTACAGGAACCTTAATCTTGTACTTTTCAGCTTTCAGAAATTCTAAATTAATTCTGGCCTTCAGAACTAGATTTTTCATGTCTAAGCCACACAATCTGAGATATTATGGCCGTCAGAGCAGACTGAAACACTCTCAGTCTTTCTATTCTACTTTAGTATCATGACCCTCTTTACCCTCTATCCCTTCTCTGCACTATCTGTAATAGCTATCCAATCTAATTTTCCAAAGGTAACTTTAGTAATTACAATTGCTTTATTGAAGTATCTGCTGCTGCTTTTATTTTTTTTTGAGACAGAGTCTTGTTCTGTCACCCAGGCTGGAGTGCAGTGCGCGATCTTGGTTCACTGCAATCTTTGCCTACCAGGTTCAAGCAATTCTCCTGCCTCAGCATCCATAGCAGCTGGGATTACAGGAGTATGCCATCACACCTGGCTAAATTTTTGTATTTTTAGTAGAATGGGGTTTCACCATGTTAGCCAGCATGGTTTAGATCTGTTGATCTTGTGATCCAACCACCTCAGCCTCCCAAAGTGCTGGGATTACAGGTGTGAGCCACTGCGCCTGGTGGAAGTATTGGCTTCTTAACTTTCTATATCTTTGCCTTCCAAATAACTTTTGCTCAATGTTATGCATGGTTTAGGGGCCATCTTAAATTTTACATCCCTTAGGAACTTTTCCCTGATTCCACCTCCTCCTCACTCCTTGAATTCTTAAAGAATTTGTTATATACATTGCATAGTTTAATTGGCATTTCTTTTTAGTATGATTTACTTAAATGTTTGAAATTCTTTTGGGAGTAGGATCTGTTTTGGTAACATCAATCTTATAATACCTTAATAATCCTGATGAAGAAAAGAGAGAATTGATCAACTCTTAGGCCAAGAGGATTTATTCAATTAATTATAAATTGCAGTTTGTCAAATATATCAAGCCTAGTAATTTGATGTAAAATGTTGTGCTTGGTAAATCTTATTTTGATGTAAAATATTGTGCTTGGTAAATCTTATTTTTGGATGTTATACTATGATACTATAGCACATACTTATTTAAAACAAGAATTCTCATTGTGGTATTTACCTTGCATTCTAAAACCATATAAAGGTAATATAGATTACCTTTTGATGTAACTTTGAACCTTTTTTTTTTTTTTAAATTGAAACAGGCTTGATTCTGGTATGTCGCGTCTTCGTTCTTGTTGGTTTCGAAGAACATCTTTATTTCTACCTTAATTTCATTGTTTATCCAGTCAACATTCAAGAGCCAGTTGTTCAGTTTCCATGAGGCTGTGCGGTTCTGAGTTAGTTTCTGAATTCTGAGTTCTAACTTGATTGCACTGTGGTCTGAGAGGCTGTTAATGATCTCCGTTCTTTTGCATTTGCTGAGGAGTGATTTACTTCCAATTATTGGTCAGTTTTAGAGTAGGTGTGATGTGGTGCTGAGAAGAATGTATATTCTGTGGATTTGGGGTAGAGAGCTCTGTAAATGTCTATTAGGTTTGCTTGGTCCAGGTCTGAGTTCAAGTCCTGGATATCCTTGTTAATTTTCTGTCTCGTTGATCTGTTTAATGTTGACAATGGGGTGTTAAAGTCTCCCACTATTATTGTGTGAGAGTCTAAGTCTCTTTGTAAGTAATTAAGAACTTGTTTTATGTATCTGGGTGCTCCTGTATTGGGTGTGTATATATTTAGGATCATTAGCTCTTCTTCTTGCGTTGATCCTTTCACCATTATGTAGTGTCCTTCTTTGTCTCTGTTGATCTTTGTTGGTTTAAAGTCTATTTTATCTGAGATGAGAACTGCTACTCCTGCTTTTTTTCTTCTCCATTTGCTTGGTGAATCTTCCTCCATCCCTTTATTTTGAGCCTTTGTGTATCCTTGCATGTGAGATGGGTTTCCTGGATATAGCACACCGATGGGTTTTGTCTTTTTATCCAATTTGCCAGTCTGTGTCTTTCGAGTGGGGCATTTAGCCCATTTACATTTAGGGTTAATATTTCTATGTGTGAATTTGATCCTACCATTTTGATGCTAACTGGTTGTTTTGCCCATTAGTTGATGCAGTTTCTTCATTGTATTGATGCTCTTTACCATTTGGTATGCTTTTGGAGTGGCTGGTACTGGTTGTCCCTTTCTATGTCTAGTGCCTCTTTCAGGAGCTCTTGTAAAGCAGGACTGGTGGTGATGAAATCTGAGTACTTGCTTGTTCGTAAAAGATTTTATTTTTCCTTCACTTATGAAGCTTAGTTTAGCTGGATATGAACTTCTGGGTTGCAAGTTTTTTTCTTTAAAGATGTTGAATATTGGCCCCCACTCTCTTCTGGCTTGTAGGTTTTCTGCTGAGAGGTCTGCCGTGAGTCTGATGGGCATCCCTTTGTGGGTAACCCGACCTTTCTCTCTGGCTGCCCTTAGCATTTTCTCCTACATTTTCAACCCTGGTGAATCTGACAATTATGTGCCTTGGGCTTGCTCTTCTTGAGGAATATCCTTGTGGTGTTCTCTGTACTTCCCAGACTTAAATATTGGCCTGCCTTGCTAGGTTGGGGAAGTTTTCCTGGATAATATCCTGAAGAGTATTTTCCAGCGTGGATTCATTCTCTCCATCACATTCAGGTACACCTATCAAATGTAGATTAGGTCTTTTCACATAGTCCCACATTTCTTGGAGACTTTGTTCATTCCTTTTTACCCTTTTTTATCTAATCTTGCCTTCTCGTTTTATTTCATTGAGTTGATCTTTGACCTCTGATATCCTTTCTTCTGCTTGGTCAGTTCGGCTGTTGAAACTTGTGTATGCTTTGCGAAGTTCTCATGTTGTGTTTTTCAGCTCAATCAATTCACTTATATTCCTCTCTACGTTGTTTATTCTCATTAGCATTTCATCAAATCTTTTTTCAAGGTTCTTAGTTTCTTTTCATTGGGTTAGAACATGTTCTTTTAGCTCACAGAAGTTTCTTATTACCCACCTTCTGAACCCTGATTCTGTCAATTCATCACACTCATTCTCTATCCAGCCTTGTTCCCTTGCTGATGAGGAGCTGTGATCACTTGTAGGAGGAGAGGCGTTCTGGTTTCAGGTGTTTTCATCCTTTCTGCGCTGGTTTCTTCCCATCTTTGCGGTTTTATCCACCTGTCGTCTTTGCAGTTGTTGACTTTCAGAGTGGGTCTCTGAGTGGACATCCAGTTTGTTGATGATGAAGTTATTTCTTTCTGTTTCTTAGTTTTCCTTCTAACAGTCAGGCCCCTCTACTGTAGGACTGCTGAAGTCCATTCCAGGCCCTGCTTTCCTGGGGATCACCTGCAGTAGCTGCAGAACAATAACAGTTGCTGCCAGTTTCTTCTTCTGGTATCTTTGTCCCTGAAGGATACCTGCCTGATGTCAGTCTGAGCTCTCCTTTATGAAGTGGCTGTTTGGATATACAGGGGTCAGGGAGCTGCTTGAGGAGACAGTTTGTTCTTTATAGGATCTCAAGTGCTGAGCTGTGAGCTCCGTTGTTCATTCAGAGCTGCTGGGCAGGTACGTTTAAGTCTGCTGCAGCAGAACTCAGAAACTCCCCCTTTTTTTTCCCCAGGTGCTCTATCCCAAGAATTAGGGCTTTTTTAATGAGTTTCTGTTGTGCTGCTGCCTTTTTTCAGGGCTGCCCTGCCCAGCAAGGGGGCAGCCTAATCACTGTCTGCCACAGAGGCTTTGCTGAGCTGCTGTGGGCTCCACCCAGCTGCTGTGTGTACTTCCCTGCAGTCCTGTTTATAAGGGTGTAGTTAGATCTGCCTTGGCAATGGCGGCCCACCCCTGTAATGGCAGACTCTCTCTGTAATGGCAGGCTGCCTTGGCAACTGCGGGCTGCCTCAGCAATGGTGGACTACCTCCGTGGTGGTGGAGTGCCTCTGTAGTGGCGGACACCCCACCCCCACAGAGCTGGACCGTCCTGGGTTCAGCTGTGCTTGCTGTGAAACTCTCAATCCAGAGCATTTCAGATTGCTGTTTTTTGTGGGGTGGGACCAGCCGAGCCTGATCACCTGGCTCCCTGCCTCAGAGCCTTTTTTTTTTTTTAATTGAACGGTCAACTGTCTCCCAGGTGTTCCAGTCACCTGTTGAAAAGGTGCCGTGATCTGTGCGATTTCCTGTGCAGTGCGCTGGCTGAAACAGCCACGCTGAGATTTGTGGCACTTTTTTGCCTGGGAATCTCCTGGCCTGGCTCCCTGTTTCAGTCCCTTTTCTATCAGTTGAATGGGCGACTCTGTCTTCCAGAGCTCTAATCGCCAGCTAAAACGGTGCCTGCACCCGTGTATTTTGTACGGAGAACCGCCACACTGGCGCACCAGCCAACACAGCCACGCTGGCCAAAACAGCTGTGCTGGCGACCCGTGGGGCTCCTCCGCCTGGGAATCTCCTGGTCTGTAGGCAATAAAAATCTGTCTGGAAATGCGGTGTCCACTCAACCTCCAAGCTTTAGCTGGGAGCTGCAATCCTGAGCTGCTCCTAATTGGCCATCTTGGATCCGTCCTGAACCTTTTTTTAATGAAAGAATATGAATGAAAATAATTTGACAGCAAAAGAAACGATCCCCAGAGTGAACAGACAACATATGTAATAGGGGAAAATGTTTGCAATCTATCCATCTGACAAAGGTCTGATATCCAGTATCTCCAAGGAACTTAAACAATTTACGAGAACAAACAAAGCATTAGAAAGTGGGCAAAGGACTTGAACAGACCCTTCTCAAAAGAAGACATGCATGTTGCCAACAAGCATGTGGAAAAAAGCTCAACGTCACTGATCATTAGAGAAATGCAAATCAAACCCACGCTGATTGACGATCGCACAGCAGTCAGAATAAGTGTTATTAAAAAGTCAAAAAGTAATAGATGCTGGCGAGGTTGTGGAGAAAAAGGAGTGCTCTTACACTGTTGGTGGGAGTGTAAATTAGTTCAACCATTGTTGAAGACAGTATGGCTATTCCTCAAAGACCTAGAGGGAGATACACCATTTGACCCAGCAATCCCATTACTCGGTATATACCCAAAGCAATATAAATTATTCTATTATAAAGATACATATGCATGGATATTCATTGCAGTACTATTCACAATAGCAAAGACATGGAATCAACCTAAATGCCCATCACTGATAGACTGGATAAAGAAAATGTGGTATATATACTCCATGGAATAGCATGCAGCCATAAAAAGGAATGAGATTTAATGTCTTTTGCAGGGAAATGGATGGAGCTAGAGGCCATTATCCTCAGCAAACTAATGCAGGAACAGAAAACCAAATAGCACATGTTCTCACTTAGAAATGGAAGCTGAATAATGAGAACACATGGACACAAGGACGGGAACGATGCACACTGGGGCTGGAGGGTAGCAGGTGGGAGGAGGGAGAACATCAGGAAGAGTAGGTAATGGATGCTGGGCTTAATATCTAGGTGATGGGATGATAAGTGCAGCAAATCACCATGACACACGTTTACCTATGTAACAAACCTGCACATAGCGCACATGTACCCTTAACTTGAAAGTTGGAAATCAAATAAATAAATGAATAAGTTTACCATCCAAATACTCCCAAATTCTTATCTTTTTTTATTTTAAGAAAGATAAGATAAAGATAAGAATTGGGAAAGAAAAGGATTTGAGGGTATATTATTTCAGAAATCCCTTTAATAGTTTTCATATTTCTAGTTATGTGTATCAGAGGGTCACTAATATATACTATAGCGAATACTGATGTGTATCCTTTTTAAATTTGTTAAACTATGCTATATGAGATAAGAAAACACTGATGAAAACCTGCATTAGAAAAAGGTATTTAAAATTTTTTTCTCATTTTAAACATTTTGGAGTATCGTTTGGATAGTTATGGAGAATGCTGATTTTGATTATTATAATGTCAAACACTGAGAATATCTTACATGTATCTTCCAAGCAGAGCTTCTGTTCCACAAAATTAAATCCGTGCTTAATATAATTTTGCAAGTAAATTTCAGTCAATTGCATCTCAGTTGTAGACTAGTAACCCATCCGCAGTAGAATGATGGCAGTATTGTTTCCAGGCTGTTTGTTCCTCCAAGTATCTAGATGAGGCCGAGTCAGCCTTATGTGTCTAAAGCTGCCAGTTTTCCTGTGGTTTCTTTATTTATCCCTTTATCCAGCTGCTGCTCACTGCTATTGCCACATTTGCCCTCTGGCTCATGGGATAGCATGCTTAGCTTCCCCAGAGGCTACTGTTAATGCTTCCTTTTTACTCTGCTGGCTGGGAATGCACTTGGCATCCTGAGTCTTAAACCTCTCCTCCCTCTTTTTTCCACAGACACCAGGCACTTAAGCAGCACTTTCAGCCTGCCCCAGTTATCAGTAGTAGCTTTCAACCCCTCATTTCTGGTCTGGTAACTCAGCACACTGTCCCGAGAGAGCTTGACTAAGCCAATTTGCCCCCTCTTCCCTTCTTCCTCTGTCTGTCCTTCTTTCTTTTTTTTCTCCTACTCATCCATTTCCTTGACTCTCCTTTTATTTTTCTCTTGCTCTCTTTTTGATGTCCCAGATGATTTTTTCTGCTTTTAGTATAGCAGATGCCCCAGAGTTAGGCAAATATTTGTAGTAGAAAATAAAACAATAGTAAATTTAAAAATTAAACATTTGCTCAATATTGGATCAATGAAAAAAAGAGTTTATTTTTTATACCTTAGTCTTTTTGCCTTTTTATGGCTATAATGCAGCTTTTTGTATTAAAAGTGTATGGGCTTGTTTTTGAGTTGTGAATATTGTTTTTATACAGGCCTGCTCATTCAAGATGATCTATGATGAGGGAAAAAATTAAAACTTTTTCTAGCTAATGTTTTACGTAGAATAGAAAAGCCACTTTTATTTTTATTTATTTTTTACATAGAATGATTCGAATATGCAGTTTGAGTTATGTACTTCCTCTGAATATTCTACATATGTCGGCTGTTCATTTTTCAAGTAATAGTTTGTAAACAACTTTTAGGAATTCTTAAGCTAACTAAGATTTATAACCAGTAGATTAGGAAATAAAGACTATACCTATGAATTTGGGGATCAAGAATAGTAACAGTGCTCTTCAGGCCTTGGTCATCAACTGCTGACAAAATCTGCCAGACAATCCCAAATGTCTACAAAAGAAAAACATGAAAAATTCATACTGACAATTGTAGATCAGAATCATTTAAACCCCCTTTCTCCTTCCTCCTCTCATTTCCCTTGATCTTAATTCTCTTCCCGGGAAAAAAAAGAAGTTAGGTAAAGTTTGTGTTTTATAAATTCAACAAATTGTGCATTCTTTTTCTATAGCCTCATTTAACCAAAATATATATTGTTTTACTCTACCTCCACAATTAGGTCTGTATTTTAAAGATACAAAATGCCTTTCTCATCGTAATTCCCTAAAGGCATTTGTATTTAGTTTGTGAGGTTTAATGCTGGGTCTAAGTTTAAAGGAAACATCAGCCCATAAGAAGTCAGACATTGTTTCACAACCTTAACAAGGAGTCAGCCCGTCTTACTCCTTTGCAGAGCATAAGGGAGGATCAGGAAAGGAGAGGAGGATCTGCTTACCACATTCTTAAGTAAAAGTTCTGAGTTTAAATCTCTTTAGAAAAGAAGGCTTTATATATCAGAGTTTCACAACCTTTTATGTAGATGTAAAAAATACATCCTGTTCCTTAATGTTTGTATTAAGAAACCAGTAAACAATAGAATATTATTACAATTTGAATATGCTTTTAAAGCTACATATATTACCCCTGCCATACTGTAATGCAACACACACTCCCCTTTTCACCACCTAGAGGCACGTGATTAGCAATAACATTTAGACATTCATTTTGAGAGTGTCTCGTTCTAACTTAAGGCTATTTTTAAAATTTCTCCCCTCAGGAAATTAGCAGTTGCTAGTTACATTTTGTTAAGCTTGTTCAGTACTGCAAGTACTTGGGACACAATAGTGATGCTCTTGATCTTTTATATATATATCTTATTCATATACATTGCCCTGAAATACACCTGCCAAACAAGAGCAATATGATACCTGTGTGGCAAACTTCCAATAATATCTAAAATGCTTTATGTCCTCAAAAAAAATGTGTTTGTTTTTAAGTTATCTGTACAAAATTGGGGGTACAGTGGCTTACTCCTCTAATCCCAGCCCTTTGGGAGGCCAAGGAGGAGGATCACTTGAGTCCAGAAGTTCAAGACCAGCCTGGGCAACATAGTAAGACTTCATCTCTAAAGAAATTAAAATTAAAAATTAGCCAGACATGGTGGTACACACCTGTAGTCCCAGCTCCTTGGGAGGCTGAGGTGGGAGGATCGCTTGAGCCTGGGAAGTGGAGGCTGCAGTGAGCCATGATTGCACCACTGCACCCTAGCCTGGGCAACAAAGAGAGCCTGTCTCAGAAAAGAAAAGAAAAAATTGACTAAAAACTGATAATTATTTTAAGCAATCTTTCCTTTGGTGATGTTAATAAGAGTATTTTTAAAGAACAGTGTACTTTTTTAGTACTACTTTGAGCACTGCTATCAGATTTCTACAGGCAGTACTCTTCGTTGCTAATGTTAATCATCTGTAAGACATGCTAGTTCTGAAATGGGCTATTAAGTATCTTTGTGGGGATGTATTTTAAAACAGAAATAAATATTCATAAACCTGATGAAAGCTGAATAGTTATATAAATGTTGTAAACACAAATAATCTTGGCATATTTTAGTACTTGTTTACCATCACTTTAGTGGCCCACAAAAATTTTGCAATTTATTTCTATATTTGTTATTGTCCACAGAAGATTGTTTGTCCTTATAAGCATTAGAAATTGGAAAAAATATTTTTGTCAGTAGTTTAGAACATATTTTCCTTTTTTATTTCTATGTTTTTTTTAATGACCCAATTTAATTTCTTCACTACTTTTGGTTTTTTAAGCTCTATGTTAATTTAAATTTAGTTAAATAATTACCTTAGAAACTATTGGTTTAGTTTGCCTTGAAAAAGCACAAAAACCCTGTGAATATTTGCAACCTAATTTTTCAAAGCCTAGTCTTTTTTTTTTTTGGAGACAGAGTCTCACTCTGTCACCTAGGCTGGAGTACAGTGGCATAATCTCAGCTCACTGCAGCTTCCGCCTCCTGGGTTCAAGCGATTCTCCTGCCTCAGCCTCCTGAGTAGCTGTGACTATGGGTATGTACTACCACGCCCAGATAATTTTTGTATTTTTAGTAGAGATGGGGTTTCACCGTGTTGGCAAGTCTGGTCTTGAACATGTGGCCTCAATTGATTCACCCGCCTTAGCCTCCCACATTGAACCACCCTGCCTGACCCAGAATGGCTTTCTTAATTTCAGTTTTCTAGCAAATCTCTATTCACACAAAACAAGACTGCAAGGCTACTCTTATGATAGGCTATGATAGGCTATGATAGCCTGCTTATGATAGGCTAGCGCCAAATTTTACTAAAATATTTATTTTGTAAAAAATAAAAGTAGTGAATCACACTGATTAGGCAATGGCTTCCTATAGACGATACCAAAGCCTCACATATGAAAATAAATAAACTGGACTTGGAAAGTGAATGGGAGAAAATAAATTAACTGGACTTGGAAAGTGAATGTGAGAAAATATTTGCAAATCATATATTTAATTAGAGTCTACTATCTAGATTATATAAAGGACTCATACAACTCAACAATAAAATGATAAATAGTCCAATTACAACCTGGGCAAAGGATTTGAATAGACATTCCTCCCAAGAATATATCTGAATGACCAAAATGCCCATGAAATATGTTAACATTAGTAGTTGTGGAGAAATGCAAATAACACCACTTCACGTGAGATAACACTTCACAACCAGTAGCAAAAGACAGTAACAAGTATTGGTTAAGTTATGTAAAAACTGTAACCTTCATACATTACTGTTGAGAATGTAAAATGGTGCACATTCTTTGGAAAAGTTTGGCAGTTACTCAAAAAAAGTTAAACATTGAGTTACCATGTGACCCAGCAATTCCACTCTTGGTTATATGTATACCCAGGATAATTGGAAACATATCCATATAAAAACCTGTTCATTAATGTTCATAGCAGCATTAGTCATAGTAGCCAAAAAGTAGAAACAACCCAAATGCCTACCAGCTAATGAATAATGGATTTTCACAATATGGTATATCCATATGCTGAAGATTATTCAACCATAAACAGGAATGAAATAGTGAGACATGCTACAGCATGAACCATGAAAACATGATGCTAAGTTAAATAATCCAGACACAAAAGGCCACGTATTGTATGATTCCATTTATACAATATAGACAAATCCATAGAAATACAGATTGATTAGTGGTTGTCAGGGTGTGAGGGTGAGGGAAATGGGAGTGAGTGTCATGTAGGTACATAGTTTCTTTCTGGTGTGATGAAAGGGCTCTGAAATTAATGGTGATATTTGCACAGCTTTGTGACAATACTAAAAACCATGGAATTGTACACTTTAAAGGATAAATTCAATGGTATGTGAATTATATTTAAATATTTAAAAAGTAGCCACATTTGTCATTTTAATTCAAACATCGTAGGAAGGAATTTAAATGTTTTTTTAAAAAGACCACTTAAATTTAGCTTGTTGAACTATTTTTCTGAAGAATATTAAATAGTTCTGTTAAAAACAAAATATACTTAAGAAAAATGAACAGAGAAAATAATAAGTAGACATCTTTTCCTTTTATATTGCTAATAAGTATGCTCTACATAAACTGCAATTTTTTTTTTAAGTCAGTAATTCTCATCTCAAACTTTTAGTGTTCCAGAGTTTGTTTAAAATGTAGATCCCAGGGCCCTACACCATACTTATTAAAATTGATTCTGGTGGTTTGGGGAATAAGCCCTGGAATAATTTTTTAAGAAACTCCCTAGGTGATCCTGATGTTGATGGGTTTGAAATCTCTTCATTGGCATATTTCAAATTTGCATTTATTTCTAGAGAAAAATAATGATACTGGGGAAATAAAAATTCTTAACTGCTAAGAATTCATTCACAGGTGCTTTGTAAATATTACTCGGAATAGAGTTGAGTAATCCCTGTTGTTCTAATGCTGGTATTCACCCTGTGCCATTGAGGAGTGGAGTTGTGATCATTAATTGTTTTTTTTTTTTGTATTTGTTTTGTTTTGCTTTGAGATGGAGTTTCGCTCTTGTCACTCAGACTGGAGTGCAATGGCAGGATCTCGGCTCACTGCAACCTCCACCTCCTGGGTTCAAGCAATTCTCCTGCCTCAGCCTCCCAAGTAGCTGGGATTACAGGTGTGCGCCACTATGCCTGGCTAATTTATTAGTAGTAGTAATAGTAGTAGAGACAGGGTTTTACCATGTTGGCCAGGCTGGTTTT